TTGTTATTTTACGGTGATAATCTTGTTTTCTTGTGCCCAATAATGCATAATTTCATTTGATAAACACGTTTAGATTGAATGGTAATTTATAATCAGTCACAAGAACGTCGAATCTGAACCACTTGAAAGTAAACACGAGGGTGCTTAACTTTTTTCCAGGTGTATATAAAACAAAGCCAGACTGTTCAAGGCTCGCACATCACTCACATGATCTAAGGTGATTCTCACTTCAGCACAAGGGTGGCTAAGCCCCATAGTGTTACCTGATTCACCAATAGAAAAGAAAGCTGTCATGAGTAAAGTTAAAGCTTTCTTTCTTGGAAGAACACACATTAATGATTAATTTAGTGATCATGATTCTAGATACAACAATGAAGAGGACCTAAATTGCTTACTTGATCAAATTTCTTTGTTGAAGCCAAACTTGAAGAAAAGATATATTCTAATCATCTCGTACTACATTTCATGACAACAAAAGTTACAGGCTCAAATTCTAACAATATTATGAAACAGTCGCAAGCAGTCAAGAGCTGTGTTCAAAACACTGCACAAGTATGACAAATGCTAATATAAAAGCTTTATTGCAAATAGTGGTTCCTGTTTTTGATTTATCCACATGGAATCTGTCTGTAAGTTTGACTGTAATAGGCAGCAGCTGACACAACTGTTTTATCATTTGATGTGAAGAGTAGCATTCATCTGGAAATCATTTAACATACATTCTGGCAGCATTCTGGTGACACTCTGTACAGTAGGATCATGTTAAACTGTTCTTCAACTGAGTATTGTGTCATTATGTAGGTGAGTTGGTAGCACTTGCAGTACAACATATGTGCTACCTTAAGTAAGGGACTTTTATTTTAATATTTTTTACTTTTTTGGACAATCCAAGGCTCAGTAACCTACTTCTTCAAAATTGTGGCTGCTAGCCTGCAGATATCACTGGTTGGAGTTTGCACTGCACATACACAGGACACTTTATCATTCTACCTACGTCCTTCTATACCCAGACAGGTTCTTCTTACTTATGGGACTGGCAGCCAGGGAAGGGGATAAATCCTTGACACCAATTCATCTAACAACTATTTCTCACCTCCATGACCAATTAGTTCTTGATCATTTATGTCCAGCAACTGCCTTGAAGTGTTATGTTACTTGCAACATATCTTTTAGAGGTGCTAGACAATGGCTTTTTATTAGTTGCAACCCTTCAATTTCATGGTACTTATCTCCAGTTACCTCGATGGGGTGGGATATTGCTTATTCTGGGCTCTCTTGAGAAGAAAAGAGACTTGTGTCAGTCACGTCTCATCAAATTTGTCAAATTTCTATGTCCTTAGCAGTCCGGTTGAATTGCCTGCTGGAGGACATTGTGCGGGCTGGTATGTGGACCTCCCCCAATATTTTTATCTCGCATTTGTTGCATGATCTGGCAGTATCTTCATCTGAGGGTGTTCGACTACCCTCTTTAGCTATTGTAACCACTTCCACTAGATTATACAGAGGGGATGAATATTTTCATTGCTATGCTTGTCTCTTCTTTACCTTTCAGGTTCCTTGCCTCAATTTTACTGGATTCCACTCTGTGGCAACTGTTCCCCGGGCAGGTGTGTTTTATTAAACCAATACCGCACTAGCAACCACAAATTCAATATACTTTATACAGGTTGCAACAGGCACTGTAGAAATGAAGTGTTCCATAAGACCACCTATTACTGTATAATGCTGGACCACCACTCATGGACTATCATGATTAAAGCATAAGGGGATCTTGCCTATCTCTGCTGACCATTAGGTTGAATAAATCAGGGTCAGCTTAGTTTTAAAAATTTTGGAAACTTGGTTCACCTATTGCACTGTTCATCAGGGCTTCCCAGTGTGCATTACCCCCCAGATTCTACTAGTGGAGCTAGGAGGTCCTCACCACTCCCGGTTTCCAGTCACTGGGGTGGTGGTCCTACCTGGGACCATGGATGCTTTTTTTTTCCAGATGTCAGTAGGAGTGACACCAGCCTGTGTGGAAGCCTACTCTTTATACCGGGTCAGATTTGACGCTCAGCCATCCAGTTGGGTTGAGCATGGCCCTTGTTTTTGATCAATATTGGTTCAGTACATTGTTCATGGAAGAGAGCCCATTGTCTCTTCGCAATTCCAAATGCAAAATGGTCCCATCCTGGGTCCTTGGTTGAGCACAGTTTGTTGCATGTCCTCCCCATAATTCTGGGGAGTGAGGATGAGTGCTCATAATTCCAGACCAGATGAATTCTGTTTCCTCAGGTTGAGTATGGCATACAGGTCATTCCAAGTTTGGGGTGTTGCCTTTTGAACTTCTTCGGGTTGAGAAAAGGGTTTGTCCACTTCAGTGTTGCTTACCTTCTCGTAATTCTGGTGGCTCGGAACGTGTCACTTTATAGTTACAGGCTGGGATCCACTCACAAATATATATATTGCAGTCTGATTTAGGGGCCATGGCCCTATAATTCTAACCCCGAGCAGTGGGACCTCATTTACCTTGTTGGGGCATGGCTAATGGTGATAATAAATTATATCAAATTCCACCTGCAGTGTACAAGTTAGGTTCCGGGTGAAGAACATACCTGTTCTAGATGTAGTGTGGTTCCCCCATTATGGTGCTAATCTTCTATTTCTTTTGGCACACCCACAATCTATGCAGACATATTCTTTATGGATAATGCCCTCATCAGCCCCTCTGCCTTATCAATGTGGGATTTTAGCTGTAGTGTGAGAGGAGGTATGTTTTGGAAACTAGCATTATCTTAAATCAAAAATGTATTTCCAATAATAATTACCTCCCTTCATACTCTCCCACCCCTCCTCCCCATTAATAGTCGGTGTTAGAGACTGCAGATTGGGTCAGTCTCGATAAAGTGACAGCATTATCTGAAGGAAGTGCTTATATACAGTATCAGGATAGAGGGCACATTAATATAGGTGGGGAGTATCATGAGACAGATATTGCCAAGGGCAATTAAGTGTGGAATAAAAGACTGGAGCAAGCAAGGAAAAATCAGACCAATGCTTAAATGGGCAATGGAAAATAAACTGTAGCAGTCGAGTAATATCTGTAGTGTGAGGAGAGGTAAGTATTATTGGAAATACATTTTCAATTTAAGAAAATGCTAACTTTTCTTATGCCACTCTACTTCTGAATTATTTGCACGTTGGTAAACTTCTGAATTGCCCTGTATATATGTGGGCATGTGTACATGTGTGTGTGTGTTTGGAGAGTTTAGGTATAAGGCTTGGGAACTTCTGACTGATGTTTTTTGAACAGTGATTGACACCATGTGTACTTTTTTCTCTGTTTGTTTTAGAACAGCAATTGACGACATCTATATTCAAGTAAGGAGTTTACCTCCTGAACTTGCAGCTAGAGGTGAACGAATGAGAAGAATCATTACTGCTCTTGTTTGGTTTATTACAACTTTAACTTTAGCAGTTGTTACACCCAACATTGGAGTAGTGATCCAGCTGCTAGGGAGTTTAGCTGCAGTCTTCATTTTCGTATTTCCAGGTGAGAGAGATTATTTGCACTAGAAATAAATCTTGGTACATCAATAGGCATCCATTAAAATTTAGTTGAAAGCCTATTTTTTATTTGATACAGAACTACTACAGATTATTATACAAAATTATATGCTAACTGTTATATAAGCACCACCAACAGTGGAATAATATGGCTTTCAGTAAGACAAAAAATTTTACATTTTTCGAGTTAACTTGGTTTGTAATTGGTACACAAAATATGAAAAAAGCTTAGGCACAATTAAGACTGATACTACAATTAGATGTAGACATATCCTTTTGAAATTAATTGCAGACCTGTTAACTAAGTTGTTTCAAATTGTACCTCAGAGTAATCTTTGTAATTCAAAAACTACTCACTTCTTCTTAGGACAGATATTTAATACCTAGCACCACTGCTGAATAGATGTTGTCCATGTGCCAAGCCTTTAAGTGTAACTCCCACCCCTACATATAATAATGTGTACTGCACCAGTTTGTGATGCAGTCAGCATTAGACCCTACCTCCCCCCTCCCATCAGTGAGAATGACTCATCCTCCATATACACCACTCCCCTTGTATACTTTGTGTATACTAAATGCTCATTCTTTTCCTTCATACTGCAATGTTCCATCATGTTCTTCCTTCACTAAGAAATGTGTAGTTTGTTGGCTTATTTTTTACTTTTTGTTAACATTCAAAGTATTATCTTTCTTACCTTTACCTTAATAATTTTTTGAAAGAAAGATGTACACATTTAAATTAATTTCAGTTAGAGCTTTGACCCAGATTATTAACTTTTCTTATATTACATTGATTTCTCCTTTTAATCAAACCATGAGATTTTGGGACACCGAGTCTTTAAAAGGAATATTCTCCACATTCACTAACTCAGTATTTGAGTTTTGGCAGAAGCCAGTAGTTAATCTCAATTTCATCTATAAGAAAATTACTAATATCTAAGTACCATGGACATACCAGACTTACTAATAAAAAACAAAAAAGGGAGAAATTGTAATAATATTAATATTTTCCATGAATTCAGTTTCATGGATCATATTGAATCTGACTTCTTATATGCACTTTTCTGAAACCTCCCAAAGTCTAGATTCTCTTCCATAGAAATCATCTTATTTACCTCAATAGCAACTGGAGCTATTCTGTTAGTGAACAGTGTTTCTGACATTGTACATCATGTGGTTGGTTCTATCCTAAGTTCTTCAATTAAGACCCAGGTCTGGCAGCCTTCTCTTTCTGTAACTTCTGCTGAGCCTGCCTTCTGTTCAGACACCTTTGACCAGCTCTTCACACAACCTGCCTTTGATTATAGTTCTTTTGTCTCTGATGAGGATGACGTAACAGCCACTTTTGTTCTTTGCTGCTTTGTTAATTCTGGTATGTGATATTTGTTCTCTTACTTCAGTTGTTTCTGCTGATTCTCAGGCAAGCTTCTTGCATTCACCTCAACTCATAATATTTTATTTTTCCCTCTTCCTTCCTTACCTGATTGTTGCATTATTCCAAATTCTTTCTGTCTCTGCTTCCTGTCAGTTCTCAGGCCCCACATCTTTCTTAAGAATCTCTTCCTCCATGTTGGAGATTTCCTTCTCTTACTTTGAATCTTTTTATCCTCATTCTGCTCATTTTTGTCTTTTTCTTACTCATTTTCTTAGCTTACTGTCCATTTTACTCTTTCCTTATGAGGTTCTGCATTGCTACTCTGACATCTTTACTAGTAAAAGTCACGTGAACTTGTTCTTCAGATTGCTCCATTTTCTTTTTCAGCTGTTGCCCAGTTCACTTACTCCTTTGTATCAGGGTTTTGCTTTATAAGATGACTTATTTATTGAACTCAGTTTTATCTCGGGGAGCTCCATTGCACTCTTCCTTCTTGCAGTAATTTTTTGGGATTTTCTTGTCCTGCTGTCCTATCTCCCAAAAAGGCCAACCATTGTGAGACTCATTGATTAGTTGTTTCTAAAATCATCTCTCAGCTTTGGTCCTGTGGTAGCTTGGCTCTTATACTTTGTCCACCTGTAGATTCACTTTGTAGGAAACCCTTAAATCACACATTTCTCCCCTCAGGAGCTTTATTTTTCTTTTGGGCCCACACCTGTTTTCACCTCCATGACTTATGTCCATGGTGCTCTCTTTAATTCACGGCATTCCTTGCCAGGTTCTTCTTGTTGCCCATCTTTGGCGAACTCAGTCATGGTTTTGGCTTCTTCACCTATTGGCAATCCTAGGACCTCTGCCTCTACCATCTTAGAAGTTCCTTTTCAAGTCAGTCTCAGACCTCCATCTTTCACCATTATTTTCCATTCCTTCATCTTCATATGTGGCTTTTGTATGGTCCCTTGCAATATGGATAGGTTTTTCCTGCAGAGTAGCCTCTCTTTTTTTTTTTTCCTCACTCTTGTTGACCAATTCACTGTTGAATTTTTCACTGCAAGTGCATGATTTATTGATATTAGTCCACTTGAAACTCCCTGCCTCCAAGTTGTCTGACTGTTCCTTGTCTCATTTACTTTTTTATGTGACTTTAAAGGGTGTTTTATCCAATTCTATGGTTACTGGTTACAACGTGGCTTTGTCAACGACTTTCTGTCTTTTTCCTGTCCATTTTCCTTTGATTCTTATGGACCTCATCTGAGCCTTATTACTCACTCATCCTCCTTATTCTGTTCCTCTTCAGGACTGGAACCTCCATTTAGTTCTTTTGGTTGTTTGTACCATCATTCTTTTAAAAATATTTTCTTTTCCTTGTCACTTACAAGAGACTTTGCTCTGATATTTTTGCCTTGGAGACCTCCCGCACACTACCATATGAAAGGTTGATTTTATTTATTCCCAGACTGTTCCTTACTCTCCAGGACTTGAGCTGTTCAGAACAGTGATCTGATGTTTTTTCCAATCACCCATTTCCCTTTCTTTTCTGTATGGTTGTTCAAACCTCGATTGTCTTCTTTGTCCTGTTCAGGCAGTTTGCTGTTACCTAGTTCTCACTGCTTCTTTTTGAGGCAGTCAACATAATTGTTTTTGCCATAAGATCCCTCTCCTTCTTATACCTTATCTCCTTCTACCTTGACTGACTGGGCTAAATGACCTATTCAATTTGTCTGTTCCTCTATGGAAGATGACTCCTTTCATTTTTTTCATGGTACTTCCCATGAATTTCATAATCTCACGGCTTCTCTTGCCTTTGACTGTTGACATCCTCTGGATGAGATATTGCAGACAAGGATATGGATAGACCTTTAGATCTTTATGTCATGTTCCTTACACCATATTACAATTTCTTCCACCTCTCTTTCTGATGGATTACCATTCTCTAATCTTCCCAGAGGCTCTAATGACACAAGTTGTTACGTTGTTGGAAGAAAAAAAAACAATCACCTCAATATACAAAATATCTTTCCTGAAATTTGCATTGAGTAGGAGATAACAGAAAGTGTAAAGTTTATTTGCTCCTGCTCTGTGCCTACTGTTGAATGAGGTTTTCTGCAAAACTGCTATGGCAGTTACTGTATTTTACCTTTCAAGCCATACTACTACTTCCAAACAATAAAAATAAAAAAGCACCAAGTGTGGTTCCCTACTCTTACACCTGGCCAGCTTCTGCTGTCCCTATTTGTGATAAGTCATTGCACACTATGTTGATGTGGAACCTTATGAATGTTAGAGAATTCCTCTTTGGTCCATGTACCTCCATTGTGTTCTCTCATGAATAAATTCCTTCCTCCATTTTTCTTCTTATGGAATAGAAGAAACCTTGCTTCTCCAGTGCGAAGCCACTGGGGTGGATGATATGGAGAGTTTCCCTTTGGGTTGGTTTAATCCCACTGGTATGAGACAAAGTGGAACAATCCTCAATCAAAAGTAAGGCAGAAGTGTCTACCTGGAAGTAGAGTACAGGCCACCACCTACACAAAAAACCAGAATGTTCTTGATGTAATAACCAGATGAAATGGTCTTTCATTTTCCTCTGGATGCAGGTCAGGGATTATTCATCTCTGCACCTGCTTATTCTGGTAAGTATTTGCACAAATATTTCTCACATACTATATGGCTTGACTAATTGCCCTAGCCACAATACACAAATATGGTCTGCCAACCCTCTGAGATATACAGGCAACTGAGTAGAATTTACATATTGCCCATCTTTGTGACACCTTAGCACCATGCAGGAGGTTCTATTGACTGTATCTTACATCACTATCACTTGAATTGGTTAAAGAGTATTCCCTACTTGATGTGATTGTGGTCTTCCACTGAGTAATGCTCCCATTAGTTCCCTCCTCATTTTCCCTTTTTGGGTAACACTCTCCATGAGTTTTCCCTTTCTGTTTTTTTATCCTCAAAAAGGGAGCTCATCTTTTTATTTCTTTATATACACCAGTATGGGATTCTTGCTGTATATATTCTGTGGAGAGGTGAGTAGCATTCCTTAAATTAATATTTTTCTTTACCTGAAAAAATTTATTTCAGGCCCCTCGACGTGGATTCCTGTACGTGGTGAGGGGACCTCCCAGGGAAGGTTCTGTATTTACAGTTACTTTCTCTGGGATCGAAACATCCACCCACGTGTTTGTCGTGTGTGGCGACCCGTGAAGGGGATCAGAGGATCCTGGTGGTTGAGTGGTGTCTGGGGCACTGCAACACACCACTTTGGCCTTGAATTCCTGTAAACGGGTGGCCTTGGGGTGGCCCCCTAGGGTCAATCGGCTGGTCTACTGGGGCTAGGGTCAACTGAGTACCAGTGTTGGGCGTTCTCAACGGGTGTTGTGGACATCGTGTCTAATACTGGTGTTTGGGTATAGTGCTCACGAAACCCTGGCGTTGCTGCAGTGTCCTTGTTTGACATTGTAGTGCGTCCCCTCGTAGGACTCCATGGCAGGTGGGGTCAGTGTGCACTGAATCTCTCTCTTTAATTATGGATTAATAAAAAAAATAATAAATAAAAAAATGGTAAAAATCTGCTTATTGGTAAACGACCACGCCTAGAAGACTTTGAACAGCAGTATCCATCACACAGTACACCTGTACCTCGCTTTTTGATCATGCATTCACTATCAGATAAATCTTTACGGCAAATGTCTCCTTTTTTATTCAGAAGGGCTTAGAGGGGCTTGCTGGCTCTCCAAAGTCAGTTAAGAAGCTATGTTCTGGAGACATCTTAGTAGAAACTTCCCATCCTAAGCACAGTAAACTTATCTTGAATTCAAAGGCCATTGGGGATATACCCATTGAGGTTACTCCCCACGCTTCCTTGAATTCCTCACGAGTAGTTACCGTTGAGAGGGATTTGAAATCTATATCCGAAACGGAAATCCTTGCTGGTTTCTCCAATCAAAGAATTTCGGCAGTTCGAAGGATCTCCACTCGTCAAGATGGAATTCTGGTACCGACCTCAGTTTTAATTTTGACGTTTTCATCACCACGTCCACCTGCTGCCATTAAGGCAGGTTATTTGAACTGTAAGGTACGGCCCTATATTCCCAACCCTCTCCGATGTTTTCAGTGTCAGTGGTTCGGTCACTCAAAGACATCTTGTCGTGGTTCTGTGACGTGTGCTCGTTGTGGTGGCAAGGACCATGACTCCTGCGAGTGCAAAATGGACCCTCACTGTGTTAATTGTAGTGGTTCCCTCCCTTCCTACTTTAGATCTTGCCCTAAGTGGGTGGAGGAGAAAGAGGTACAGCGTTTGAAGACTCTAAATAACATCTCTTATCCTGAGACTCAGAAGCTATTGTTCCCTCCTACATTGCAGACATATGCCTCTGCACTACACTTCACTGCTACAGTGGGAGAGCAGACGGACCTTTCCATGCCTCTATCTGAGTCTTTTTCACGCCATGTGTGGGGTCTTCTGCCCTCCATGGATAATAGAGTTGACCAATCTACATCTACTCCAATCTCTGTCCCCACTGTTCCTTCCAGTGACTGCCTGGGTCAACCTCCTCGGGCACCAGCCTCTGGTGTCCATGTGGGCCCTTCTTTGGCCCCTAAATGCAGGACGATTATTCGATCACGTCGTCAGTCATTGGATTCTCACTCTGATAACAGAGATCTCCCCGCTCGATCAAGGGCTGTATCCATGGAGGTCGATCGACCTCCAT